CGTTAGGGCCGCAATCGCGTCTCCAGGGTGTCTTGTCGCTCATGGGGGCAGTGCTGGCGATCGTATGATGGGCTGCTATGAGAAGGAGAACAATGGGGAGAAGCGATGGCGGACGCATGGTGAGCTTTGAGTGTTGTTTGTAGATGGTAGATGGGAGGTATGGATGAAAGGATTATAAACATAGATCTAAGAGGAGCGGCATAAGCGGATGGAGGGAAAGGATCTCTCTTCACACTAGAATCATTAAAGTTGGGGGGGAGCGGCGAAGCTATGCTGAATGTCCTTTGCTTATTGTTGGGTCTTGCATTCTGGGATGGCGTATCTTGTCACGCATGCTGCTCGTATTCTCACAGACTTGACACACACATCCACCCGTCAATTGGTATCCAACATATCGCCAAATCTCGAATTACTCGGGGGTTGCCAAGGCCAACTGCTAAATTCGTTTTGGTTTGTTCTGCTGTAGAGGGCATGATCGACTCCCATCTATATCCCTTCCGTCGTTTTCTAGGGTTTCTATTTGATAGAATTACTGTAGTACGATTAAAGGTTTTACTATCGCCACTTTAAGTACTGCTATCACCTCTCCAAGTCTACCCGTTGAGCGCTGGTATGTGACCTCCCGTTGAGCGCTGTGGCCTGAACTAACCTCCTCCGGTAGTCGTACGTTCCTGCTTGGGCCGATCAACAGGCCTAAACACCCGGGAAGATTCGGGACAAAAGGAGCGATGCGTCGGTAGTGGTGTAAGGTGGCGACTGCGGATTTTGTGGCTGAATCGATTCTATTTACGGACACAACCCATTGAACCTTTCAGAAGTGCAACTCCCAGGAGACATGCTTAGACGTGCTTTCAACGCCACTGCGGGGAAGCCGCAGTGGTTTTTACTTATCTAGCTGAGAGAAGCGAGCTACTACACGCCGCAGAGCTATTATTGGTAGATAAGGGAGTTGAGGAAAGTGTACATATCGATCATGATGCTTAGGAGACCGTTTTACGCTTGTGGATGTTCTTCCCTTCTGTGTATGTGAGGGCTAAAAATACTGTTTCTATCCCCATCAAAATCTCCGAAATCACAGTAGGCGCGACTCCCGAGGCCAAACCAAAGCCACAACCCTCTATACTCCTCCCACTGTTAGGTGGCGTACTGATCCTCACCAGAGAATCTTATCGAGTGAGCTAACCCATCATGGGAGTGGGGGAGCAATCCTTCGGAAGGGGTAGCACCCCGCGGACAGCCCGAGGAAAGCCTTCTACTGAACAAAGACGCGGCAGGGGGTCCATCAGCCAGCTCCCGTTCGGGTGCCGTAAAGTTCATAACCGAGCCCGTAGTGCATCATGGTTTATCACTCGGTCTCTTCTGGCTTAACCCTTTAGATTAGTCCAAGAGATATAGCTCTGGGTGCCGGGCGAGATTCGTTATTATGAAGGCCCACTGGCATCGATGTAATATTGCGTGTTTGTTTGGTTAATGTTCGGCGCGGATGTCTGACAACATCCATGAGGAATCGAGGGGTTTGCAACTACCGAGCTTACCCAAGGCCAGTGCAGGACTTCACTACCCAGCATACGTAAACAACCAGTACCCTAGGATATATGAAACATCCCGAAGACCTACTTAACCGCCTTTTTCCCATGAACTATAACGCTGATTTAGTGCTCTGGGCCGTATTAAAAGTTATCATAATGCTTATACACTAGTAGAAACAAAAACAAGCCCGCTCCGGGCAAAAGCATGACATTTACTTAATATTACGACCAAATAAGGATCTTCTAAGGCCTTTTCTAATATCAGAATTACCAAATAAATAAGAATTAGGGAAATCTGTCGGACTACGCTCTACTAAGGCGGGCTCATCCCCGGACGTTCTGTAGATACTAGTATACTATATCCCTTGGTGTGTTCGGATACACGCTCTGTTTTTTTTTTTTTTTTTGTTTAATTCATTAATTGCTCGGATACACGCTCCGTAGTCAGTCAAATACATGCCGCGCTCAATGTGAGCAAATAAAAGGAGGGAGAACAATCTTCCCAGGTAGTCAAATAGCGTCGTCGTCGTCGTGGTGGTATTCGGACTGACACTCTGAATTGCTGGGCAGGGGAGCTTGTTGCCAAGACATCGAGTACATCCCCGGGGGGGGGGGGGGGTTGGTTACCGTTGTGCGGAGGTGGTGGGCAATTCCCAATGCCTCTAATGAGCCTAGTGGACGCGTACATAGTCGCTTTAGTCTCCGGACCGTTAACATCTCTGGCCCCTACTTCCACCGGCCGCTGCCCGCACCACCGAACATCCCCTCCGCCTCTCGCCGCCGCCATCAAACCCCACTACCTCCCGATCATCACCATCTCCCGCCAATGGTCCACTAGCAGCGACATGCCCAACATTAACACCTACTAACCCTCAAATTCATGAATTAAACGGAAAGAAAAAAAAACCCAAATTCACTCAGCATCAAAAACCATCACTCGCCCACCAAATTCCGTGCTGCACGCCAAGATGTCTGCGCTCGCGCGCCGTGGGGCTCCGCACTGCTAGGTCGGGTGCGAAATCGCACGCACGGCAGCCTGGTGCCTGGTCATATATATGGGCGCACGCTTCGCACCCACCAGTGGCGCAACAGATACATACACCCTCAACACCGATCCTCCTCACGAGAACCACAAGCCACAGCACACAGTGCGAGAGAACCGCTATCGTGGGGGGAGCCTTGACACGGAGTGCCGCCACATTGATTTTGCTTACTAACATACAAATTACGTGCCAAGAGTGGTCTAGGACGAGGAAAAGTACTTTTTTTGACCATACAAGCGACATTGTCCCAGCTAAAATACTTTTATAATTCAACAACGAAGAATGATTTCAAAAATCTGAGGGGATAAAATGATAGAGCAGGTAAAACTAAGTAGATCTATCTAATAAAATTAAAAATCTGTGTGGTTGTTGATGAGCTATAAGCGGCCAAAGTTGAGGTGTCCAAACTACTCCGTGACAAGGCTTCCCCCACCATAGGTCAAATAACCGACACAAGCCCATCAGCACCAGCCATTATTAGGCCGCCACACTGTGCGATACCGCATTATCTAACCAAGCCCAGCGTGGTGCTAGTATCGAACCATACGCAAACTCAACCTTCCTGTGGCTTTCGCGGAGAGCCAGGTTTTTTTCGTTTCTAGCTCTATGGCTACCTGCCTTGGATCCGTCGCCGGAGGAGGCCTGGTAGGCGTCTAACTAACACATATCCTCCGCCTAGCTACAACCACTTAACCCTTGCAACTTGACACCGAGTCCGCCAAGCTCCCCACCGCTTCTATCCCAAAAACTAAAAACACCCAAGACCATTGCGCATACATTAGAGGGAATATCTTGACGGCGTAATCCTCAATATCGGGGACTCAAAGTGTCTTCAAGCGTATTTCTAAGTCTTGTGATTGAAAATGACATATCACACCTACGGTCGGTGTTAAAAGACTCTGTTGTTGTCCCTACTCCCCATCCAACCCCCCCCTCCAACCCGGGGTTCCCTGCCCCCGACTGCCCGCCTGCGCAGGTCAACACACCCAACACACTTATTGCCCAGTCCCCAGAACACACTCCCCCGGGGCGGACTCCCCAAATGTGGGGATCACCCACAAGCACCCTTTAGTAAATAGAGAACAACTAGTTTAATAGAACTAGTGGCGGAAGAATTTAACAGGATCTTGGAGGGGTGGCGCTGTGTAGGTAGCGGGGGTGTGGTACATACCTATGTGTGGGGGGGGTGTGTTGTGCTGGATCAGATTGATAAGATAAGCGAATTTAAACTGCGCTAGGAGACCCGCTCGCGGGACGGCCCGACCCGCCGCCTGGTGCAGGGGTGCTGACGTATGTTGTCACGTAGGGGCTCGTGACGAAGTTTCAAACTGAGTTGCTGACAGACAGTTTTAAACTGGTTGAAGAAACTGGCTTGAGGGAAGCTGGGTGTCATAGCCGTGAACTAGTCGGTGGTAGAAAATTCTTGGGATGGGTTAGGGTAATTTGGGGTGTAAAAATCGGAATTTAAATAAAAAAAATGGAGTAAGGGTGGGTTAGGGTAAAATTGGGGCGGACATCAGGGCTAGTTCATGACGCTGACAGTTAAAACTGCTGTTTATGACAGGCTGAGTTCACAACGCTGTTTTTGACTCGAGATCTGAGTTCGTTATGGGCCACTAATGTTGTAGCTACGGATGACGGCTGTTGAGGTTGGGTGAGAGGGTAGGCAGCTATAAGGAGAGGGTGCGATGGACAAGTGTTGGTCGTAAATCATCGTTTGTTCATGATCACCTGGCAAATAACAAACTAGGTATTGGGTGCGAATCAGCACGGATTCACTCCTTCCCACCCAAAAATCGCGTTCCATGGCATCCACCATATCACCCAGTGAGGCTCATTATGGCTATACCGCAACTGATATAATTATTATAGAAACATATCTAAGGGCTGCTCCTCCTCTTCCTCCTCCTCAAGCTGTATAAATCATTGCTTTGGACACTGATCACAATGTCACCACAGGGGATAGACCGCTCAAAGCACATAGAAGTATAAACATAAAGAACGAATAAATTAACTTTCCAACGAATATCGCAGAAATGACAAGGCGCTGGGTATGGATTCTAACCCGTAACACCATGACAATAAAGATCCCGGTATTGTTCAGTTGATCGGCACGTCGAGCTTCGTCTTTAGAAGCTTCTTCCCCCTCTGAATGATATCTGGGTGGACCTCTGGATACACCTCATCCCAAATGGCTGGCGAAAACTCCCACTCTGTACCATTAAACTGCATCTTCATCTCTTTTTCGTTCTATTACCCAATAGCCCACCCAATAGCTTCCCCCGTGGAATCTTTACCGTGGTTGCCTCCATGTCGAAAGTAATGAGTCGGAGTTTTGCATCTACCGCATTCGTGGACTTGTCATATATATACACAGTAGCAAGGATAGAAAGTCTAGGAATGTCGCTCTGCGAATCTTTCATGCTTCTCACCATAGACTGAAAACACCCTCTAGAGACTGAGTAATTTCCTCCAGCACCGGGGGTCCCTGGAACGCCGGAGCGAAGACGACCTTATGCAGGTGTGGAGTTGAAGTGGGGTAGTTTTTAATATGCATGGAATTAATAGTACTGCTCAGGCACACTGTTCGAGTGCTCAGCACGGCTTCGAGGACAGTGTTGCGGTAACGTGATATCTCGGTGTTGTATTTTCGTGACCCGGGTGTGGATTTGAAGGCGTCGGTTTTGATCATCTCGTCGACAGTTTGATCGGTTAAGCCGCTGGCCCACATTTGGAAGGTACCCATGCTCTTTTTCATCTTTTCAAGCTTGGGCGCGAGCTCGTCTCTTACGCAGGGGTCGAAACCGATGAAGTAGAGTGTTTTCAGGCTTCCCCCCCCCGTGCCGACGCCACCAACTCTGTCTCTTCCGCCTCCACCACCACCACCACCGCTACCATGATCACCACCACCACCACCATCGCCTCCTCTTCATCCTCCCCTCCTCATTGTTCTCCGTGTGAGCATGGCTTCTATAGTCCCCATTAGCACCTCCCCATGGCACAATCTAGAGCCTAATGAAGTCCAAAACAACTTCCCCACAAACATGCCCGAACGGAATGTTCAGCAACTTTCGCTCCTCCGCGAAAACCTCCGCCTCACCATCTTTTGGGCACGTAACATAGCGCAGAAGCGTGTCAGCGAGAGGCTTACCAGCGGAGAGCCTCTGGCAGGGGACGTACATGGTAAAGATATCCACTTCTCCAAGGTTATGAGCGCTGTCTTCGAGAAGCGTGCGACATGGCTCATTCCTTCGGTCCAAACGAACATGTCTAAATCATTCAATATACCCAGAGATATCTCAGCCCCCGAGAGACTTCTCACCCACCTGGAAGTGCCCCATACCCTTGGCCTAAGAGCTTTTGCCCAGAGTACCATTCAGAAGATCAGTAACTTTAGAAATAGCAAGACGGTTTGTTATCGGGACTCCGTCGTCTTTCTCAACTTTGATCCGTACACGAAGAGCTTTGAGGCAAGGCTGCAGACTCTGGAATTGTCATTGAAAGTGACTTATTCTGTGTATGGGGGCATGATTCGGGACATGGTTGAATTTATACGCAGGGCTGCCCGTCGTTGGCATATTCTCCTGCAGTTCGTGGACCGGATATTGTCCCTGATTCTGGTATGGGTGGATGTAATATATGTGGAGCCTGAGATAGCGACGGTCCAGTATGAGTTCCTGAATGATACATTCATGGAGATGGAGGATACAGTGAGGGAGACGGTGCAAGGGATGGGAATAGACCAGTCTGTGAATGATTGAGGTCTTGATTAGGGTTGATCCTCTTTGTCTTCAGTGTTTTTCTTCTTATGAATAATGACGTCAAGTTAACACTTATCACCCAGCTTGCCTCTTGCAGTTTACTGTGACCTGCTATTCCTGCCCTGTAGCAATATGAAATATCCATTCTTCAAGCAAGACATCACTATTAGGTAGCGAAAACCAACAGCAAAAAACCAAAAGGTATCAATGATAAACCTTGCTTATCTATCTCACCATTATGAAAGGAATCTGCGCGCTTAAATTGACCTTAAGATCAACTTGCGGGAAGATTAATTCTCTCGTGGGTGAGGTGTCACCAAATGTGAAATCACTTTCCGACACCCTGAGTACATTGCTGGGTTTGGCAGCCCGATCGATAAGTAGGAATATAACTACATTCATTAGTATCTATAGGCTATCATGTATGGGGCCCGGTATCCCTTGGAAGGATGAACGTTGTCAAATTCGCGATGTTCAGAGACTCACTCCGTAGACACTCACATACATGCTGCGCTTAATGTGAGCAAAGAAATCCAGGGAATACGGTGTGCCCAGGTAAGAATAAAATAGCGTGGTCCTGATATTCGAACTGGCACTCGGGTCCTGATTATTGCCTGATGTGAAGAGTCAGCGATTGGTAAATGTAGGGGGCAGACGGGGATGTTCACACCCTGGGAGTTAATCGACTCCCCATCCGGCGAGGTCTTCGCCCGCTTCCGCACAACGGCATGAGATGTTAGACCGCTTGACAATCCCGTCTCTAACGAACTTCGCCATCCCGTTCCTGCGCCATCAATACCGACTACTGCCAATCCAAAACGAGCAGCGTCATGCCCAATAATAACTGCCACTCATCACGCCCCAGGTTCTCGCGGGCATCACAAACGATCACTCGCCCACCCCAAATGAATGCTGCATGCCAAGACATCGTGCGTTCACACACCGTGCGGTTTCGCACAGTTAGGTCGGGCGCGAAACCGCACGACAAGCTGGTGCCAGATTTGCAGCCTTCGCACCTGCCTACCTGTGCAGCAAAGTTTACCCCATCAACCCTACCCCATCTTCACGGGACACATAAGCCACAGTACACCGCGGGAGAGTCGTGAGGTCAAATGGGCGGTGCACGTAACCGAGTTGGGGCTAGGGTTACTGGTTTCATTTCTTAGGTTCCCATTTACACTTGAGTGTCAAGCTTTTGTTTAAAGGCAAAGCAGGCTCCTAGAGTTAGAGCTGACCTATTGGCTATCTCTTCAAGAATCTTTACCCCGCCGGAGTGGGTGGGTGGCGCGGGATCCACCTCTTTGGTCTATGGCGGGACCAAAGGGTCCAAACATAAAAAAGAAAGAAGGAAAAAAAGAAATACAGGTAACCCTATATCAAATAACTAGCGCTTGGGAGAAATGTTATGGAACTCTCTCTTATCCCCTATGTTCTCCTTATATAGCGTATTTCGTACCCAAGCCCTTCTCGGAGATCCAAGCGGAGAACCTCTCAAGGCGTTGAGGTGCCAGCTTGTACGGTCTCTTTCTGGGAATGTATTACTTTTCATCGTTACCCTCCATGACTCCATATCCTATTAACATTCTCTACATGATTTAACGCCGGTCGGGCTGGGCATTACGCTGCACTTCTGGGCTCATGATTCAATACTTATGAGATGTGATTTTCACCCATGCGGTCTCTGCAATAAACTGATACTTCAATGTCATCTCTAGACCTCTCGGGACTAATAATCGTGGTATGGCAGACTGATTGTAGGCCATGCATATCGAAGTGCGAGTGGTGAACCGTAACCCTAACCCTAGCTCAGAAAATGCTTCAAACGAATCAATCTAACCCCTGTCTTTCTGGGGATCTGGTCATAGAAAATCGCTCTTGAATAATGAGGGGTTTGAGTGACAAGCCAGGGTTACGGAAATATGAGCATAATTTTGGCTGTTGCTCGATATGAAATTTTGATTGGCACCCCATCATCTCATTTATCCCTTAGTCCGGCGAAAAATGCGGACCCCCCCAATAGTAGGAATAATATCATCTGGCGGGTGGTGTTGGCCAACTGAGACAGGTTGTAGTGGTCCGTGCAATATCAGAAATATCCGCGTTTGCTAATGTTGAGGATCTCGCACATCAGTGTAAATAGGAGTGAAGAAGTATTTTGACCGTATTCATGACAACTACATCAATGTCAGACTCTGAAGATTCGGATTATGCGCAGCTTTCTGGTGAGATGGATTCAGATGAGGAGGATACTTCGGACTGTGAAAGTATTTGCTTGGGCGAGGAGATTTCAAATGAGGAAGTGGATTTGGAACCTGTAGTGACATTTGGTCGGGTACAGAGGTCAGAGATGTATGAGGATTCGGAAGCGGAGGTATCAGATAATACCTATATTCCTCCTTCTGTGGATAATGTACCGGAATTTAAGCCCTTGCGTTCTGAGTTTTCTTCTCACACTGCAGAGGCAAAAAACCTGCCTATCGGCCCCGGGTCCAACTTTAGTTTGGCCAGCCCGCTTTCCTTCTTTAAACTCTTCGTTTCCGATCAGGAATTTGATCTTTTTGCTGTCAATACGAATGAGTATGCAAAAGCAAAGGGTGTTGGATACAGACATGATAAAGGACAACCCCGCTTACCCCGGCAACAAAAGGCATCGCGGCCATAGAACAATACCAATGGCCAGGATTGATACTGCGCAACTCACGCAGCTAGCCATATCGGAGGCCAGAATCGAGATCAACCCATCTGATCCACAGCTACATAACTTGCCCCTACTCATTGCAGTGGCCGAAGGAGATCATACAAAGGTTAAAGGTCTGTTGGCCCGGGAGCCAAAATCAACCAATGCCATCCTATATCTGGGCACTACGCATTGCAGCTTGCTGCTAACAAAGGCGATCTTGGGATGGTTGACATTCTTTTAAGTCACGGGGCAGTAAAGTACAAGTGCCAACCAGTGACTGGTGACTTCATTATCAAGAGTGCTATCATCGGTGGGAATCCGGCTATTGCTAATATGCTTTCCGAAACTAGGTCGAGCTTAGTAAATATAGACAGCGAACTCAATGCTTTGCACTACGCTATTGAGCTGAACAAAGAGTCTATTGTTGATTTATTTCTCGATACTGCGGCTGAAAGAGGGGAAGGCGATCAGACCCAGATAACTGCGGCTTTACATCAAGCAACCCTCCTCCGCCATGTGGATATTATTGCCAACTTGTTAAGACGAGGTGCCTTACCGGACGAGACTGCAATACGGTTGACACTTGCGAATGGAAGGATAGATATCCTCAAACTCTTAACAGGTGGCGACTGGGAGAACACTGATGCTTTTTTCGGTGGTTATACCCTACTATGTATCGCAGTGTCGTTTGCAGACAGCTTTGTCGTACGGAAACTTCTCGAGGCGGGCGCTTATGCCAAGGAGCCTAAACACATACGGGACTCTTTGGAAGATAATGCCGAGGTTGGCGGCGACCTAGAGATTTATAATCTCCTCCGAGCGGAGCGTGTAGAAATAGGGCATTGCGACATCGGTTATGTATGGAATTACTCATGTATCAGGGATGACTCATAGAAGGAACGGGGGATTCAGACAAGGCTTAGTGTCAGGGATTATGTAATCTGGAGATCACGTGTTATTAAAATATCTGTATATATAGAACGCTCAAACATCAATATTAACGCTGGGACTTCAGCGGCACAATAGTATCTCCTTCGCACCACAAAAACACATCTTCATTTAAGGTCACATGTTCAAATCACACTCAAGTCATTTTCTCCTACACTCCAAACTTCAGAGCGCACTCAAGTAATCGAATGATTTTCAGGATGGAGGTGAACAAAGATGCAGAAAGTGTGGACCATTTGCTGCAAGTCAGCTGTGAGATAAAATGAAAATTTCGGGGTAGGGATGTTGGTTGTGTTGTGGGTAGTGCATGGTAGGAAATGTTTTTTTTTTAAATTTGTTTTGTTTAATCCATTGATCTGTTAGGAAATTCTTATTAAAACGGAGGAATCTTTTTCAATCTAAAGAATTTAGTAAGTTCACTGGCCTTTATTTTCTACTGAGACGAAAGTTCTTTCCTAAAGTATGGCTTCCTTAATCTCAAACCTACACGCTATATATCGGGAGGTTTCTATAAGTGATACAACGATCATATAATCATATTTTCCGGCAAAAAGACTAACCAACGAGATGCGAAGTGAATTTATAATAATTTGTTATCCGAAGATTATAGGCTTGGGAAGGGATAGTATTATCAGTGCTCATTGACTATTCTTTATGCTATTTGTTGATCGGAGGTTGTTCCTTTTGTAGTACAAGAAATCGAAGTTTATGACTTGAGAAATGCAGATTAAAGACCTGCCACATGCGTATTCTCAGAATAGCTATCCTATTCAAGTTCAAGCGTTATGTTGTGATGAAATATTGCAGGTGGGGTGCCTTTTGCCAGTGGTCAAATGTGCCGTTACTTTCAAGGATTTCCGGGTACAAACCAAAATGGTATATATTTCCCTTGGGTGGAGAGGTTGCCGGTTGGCCCACGTTTCCTTATTTCCTGACTGCACAAAACCTCAAGAATTCTACATTTTAGAAGAGTTTCAGTTGGATGTTCATAGGAACGGTTTCGGTACCTAAATTAGTCTTTGCCTAGGATATTTAGATAAAGTGTAAGTATATGTACATGATATATGTAAAGCAGTAGGTAATAAGTCATGGAATACAGCGATACTTGTTTTGACAAAACGCCAACAACATTTCATGTTTTTATTCTCATGCGTTCCATAACTTATTAACTATTGCTTTACATGTGTGTAGAATTAATCATGTTTCTAAAAAACTGTTCTTGGAAATGAAAATACGCTACTGAGTTCGTGGTTATCAGCCACTAGATGATGTGTCATTTCAGACACTCTTATGACATACCTGTAAACTAGAGCACTACACTACCTACTCTACTCTTTTCATCAGCAAAATTATACATATTCATAAGTCTCCCAACAGTCTCGCTGGTCTCCTGAGGTTCTCCTGAGTCATCACAATGGATTTGATTCTCTGGAGACACAGGAGACACTTTACAGAAATTGTTAAGCTTGCTGATATTTTTTTTTTTTGTTTTAAATCATATAAATTGTTTCCAGGTCCAATTACTGCATGTGGTCATAGACTATGGCATAAAGACTCATCCCCAATGCCAGATCACCTTGTTATAATAATTATGGTATGCTACCAACTGCACTCCTCTTACAAGGTTAATGACTAAGGAACTCCCCGAATAAGCAAAAGGGAAAAAAGTTCCGGATAACCCAAAAGGATAGAGTAATCAAAGAAAACATGCATTTTCCAAACCCAACTGTAATGACTATGTGTTTGGGGAAATGGTCAGTGGTAAGCGATAGTTCTATAGCGTTTAAACTGATGATATTGTAAACCGGATTCCCTTGAGTTGATGGTTGATGATACCCTCAAGTCTTCGGAGAATCATGCCCTATTTATACATGTTGGAACCTATGCCAAGGCCCGCTTTCTAATACTAACTGATACAACTATAATAGAATAAGATAACGCCTCCGAAGATAACCCAGATAGAAAAGCGCCCCCCGCATAGTTCCGTATTTGTACCATCCTTCAATTCCATATCTGTATCACTGTCCAACCTTTATAGAACCTGCAATTCCTAGTCATCGGGTAGACACTAGTACGTGCCTCCTAGATTCTAGTGAACAGCCTGCAGCCTAACCCCCTTTCTATGCTGTTTCGTCAGACGTCCCGCATACAACTATCGTATTCCTCACTGTCAGATTTTAGAACTGTCTCGTGTCGTAACACACCTCGCGTCGCCCTCGACTTACCCTATGATACCATGTGATCTAGTAGGGAAAGTTCCTAGTCCGCCTATTCCTGTCTGTGAGCCCGCATCACACCCTCACTCGTATTCGTCGAGCTGCAATTCCTCGCCAATCTTGTGCTCGTGTCTAGCTCTGTGACATAACCCGCCTTCCAAGGTCGTCGACCGTTAAAACCCTTCTAGAGTGCGGTAATAGCCCGATTGCCTATCCACCGCTGAGATCGGGAATGGTCCTGGTAAAATTATCTGATCCACGTTGGAGTATCCTCCTAGGTTCCGAGTATCTAGCAAGAACTTTCTGACCGGAGTTAAGGGAACCGATGCTATCGCTGGTCTGTTTATTGACACGAGTATCCTAGGTCGAACGACTTTCTGACGATAGTGGACCGCTGTATTGCTGTCCTGGCTTTGCCGCCATCCTATCGAACGTCTTTTGTAGCGTATCTCTCGTTAACTCATGAGCCGTTATGATCTCGTCCAAGTAGTTGTTCCCATTGGCATCTAAACGTTCAATCTCTGCATCCGTAGGCCAATCCGTTCGCGGGTGGAAGCCATAATTGCAGTAGAACGGCGATTGTCCCGTCGACGTGTGCTTCGCATTATTGTAGGCGTATTCGCAGATGGGTAACAGGTCTTTCCACTTCTTGCCTGTTCCTCCCGTATATGCCCGAATATAACCTTCCATGTGCTGGTTGGTTCGTTCCGTTTGGCCATCGGTCTGCGGGTGGAATGATGTCGAGAGTCTCCTACGAATCCCCAAACTTTCCGTGATTGCCGTCCAGAATGCTGACACGAACTGTGTTCCTCTGTCTGAGACGATACTCCTAGGAAGTCCGTGGAAGCGCCAGATGTCTTTGACAAATGCGTTAGCGGTCTGCTCCGCATTGATTCCCGTCATTGGAATGAAGTCAGCCATTTTCGTAAAACGATCCACGACTACCAATACGTTACGGAATCCTGATTTCTCCTTAGGCATTTCTACTACGAAATCCATCGAGATATCAGTCCAAGGTATGGTGGCTAACTCTACGGGTTGAGGGAGTGACAAGTGTCTCCGATGTTGCTTGGCTCTCTGTCATACATCGCAAGTCTTGACGAAATTGGCTACGTCCGTGGACATTCCTGGCCACCAGTAGTTCCTATCGATCAACTCAAGGGTTTTATCCCTTCCTAGATGCCCCGCTACGGGTCGTTCATGATGTTCCTCAATGACCTGCTTGACCGCGTAGCCCGGTACTACCCATCGACCATCGTGGGTGGGGTCATTCGAATCGGGACTCCATTCAGCGGCAGGCTCTACCTTTACGATAGCAGCCTCCGGTGCTCCGAGGATCTCAAGCTTTGAGTCAGGGAGGTGTTCATCCGGAACCATCCTCTGAACCCATCGTCTTTCCTGTTCATACCAACCCTGTAGTGGCTGAGGCAGCTCTACGCTTGGTATGTCATACCACTGATCCAACTGAATCCATTCCTCTTCGGGGTTGCCAATCACCTCAGACCCAGTTTCTACGCTGGTCCGTGATTTTCTGACAAACTGTTCTGCGTTGAGTAGCTGTTTTACGGGCTGCTCACGCATTACTCCCCCTTCAATCGCGAACTCCGGACGTCTTGTAAGTGCATCTGGCTTGCCGTTCTTCTCGCCTGGTCGGTAATAAATCTTGAAGCGAAAAGGTGCTATCTTCTCGGCCCATCTGGCTTGTCTTCTCGATAACTTCTTGGTCGTTGTGAAATATTGCGGGTTTGGGGATCCGAATGTATCTGGATAGGGATGTCCGTCCCTTCCAGCCAATGTCTCCAAGTCAGGAGGGCAGAAACTATTGCGAGCATCTCCTTCTCATAGATCTCATAGTTGACTTCTGCCTCATTGAACTTGCGAGAGTGGTAAGCTACCGGATGTAGAATACCATCTTCGAACACCTGAGAGAGTACTCCGGCCTCGGCCCAGTCACTTGCGTCAGTTTCCACAATTGCTTCGCGGTGTTTGTCATAGTGTCGGAGTATTGGAGCTGACGTAAATCTCCTCTTGAGTCCGTCGAACGCATCTTGCTGTTCCCTGCCCCATTTCCATACGGCACCTTTCTTCAGGAGATCGGTCATAGGTCTGCAAACCTCGGAGTATCTGTGGATGAACCGTTTTAGGAAATTGGCGAAGCCGAGGAAGCACTAAAGTTCCTTGATCTTGGTTGGGGCTAATCATCCCTCGATCGCCTGGACTTTCTTCGGTGATACTTGGTCCCCTTTTCCTGATATTAGGAATCCCAGGAATTCTACCTCTTGTTGATACCATTCCGTTTTCTCGAGGTTTCCGTATAGATGGTGTCATCGCAGTCGCTCCAAAACCTTCCGTACGAGAGTCGTATGCTCTTCTCTAGTCTTCGAATACATTAAGATGTCATCCAGATAGACTACTACGCCTTGATCTAGAAGATCCTTGAATATGGTATTGACCATCACCTGAAACGACGCAGGAGCATTGGTCAAGCCGAAAGGCATTACCCTATATTCGAACTGGCCGTACTTTGTTAGGAAAGCGGTTTTCCATTCTTCGCCCTTAGCAATCCTAATCAGATTATAGCCATTTTTCAGGTCTATCTTCGTGAAGTAGAGTGCTCCTTTCGTTGCGTCGACCAGCTCTGTCATGAGCGGCAGTGGGTAGCGGTTCTTGAACGTGATTTCATTCAACCCACGATAGTCGACACATAACCGAAGCTCGCCATTAGCTTTC